GGTGGGCAGAGCACCTGGACTGATCCCTTAGGGGCTGTACCCAGATAAACGGGAGAGTGCCCCAAAGCAAAACTGTCAGCTCTTACCAAGCAAGCAAGCTGGTCAGGAGAAGACAATCCCTTGATGGTGTCCCCAGACACTGTGGACCTCACATGCCCCCTGCAAGCTTGAAGTCCTCTCCTCTTGCATCCTGTGTTGGCCCCCTTGCCACCTTCCACCAAAGCCAGAGGCCTCCTCCTCCCCCGCTTGCCAGCCCACACACCTTTCCTGCTCATCTCCTGCCATGCCGTGATCTTGATTCTGCTGGTAGGGCACCAGCAACGCTCCCATTCCACACTGTCCCCCTCCCGCATCCCCTGCCTTCTCCGTGATTCACAGGCCGGGTACCTGCTGCAGGGCACAGGTCACTGTCAGGACTCAGGCTGGCCGCCGCGTACCTACACCCTCCTGAATGCTCCAGACCCAGCAAGGATGAGGATCCCCGTCCTCGATTCTTTCGTGCACATCTTAGATGGGCCAGAGCCCTCAGAAAGTTGGGACATGGGCAGAGCGATAGGACATACAAGCAGCTCTGCCTCTTGGGTGTCTAAAAGCTGACATCACCTTCCTCCTCCATCTCTGAGTCCCATCTGGGCTGCTCACTCCCAGAGCCCAGCACATAGCCCACGTTTTCTGAGTTCTGCTTCCCTAGGACCACTCCCTCCTGGTGCAGCCCTTTCCCAGCCCCTTTCTCTGCCCCTCTCCCCCCTCCCTCCGGGAGTGTCCTCAGAACCCAAAAGCTGGGAGGGGGTCCCAGACAACCTCTGCTCTGGACCCTGCAGCCCAGGCCCCCGTGGGACCTGAGAACACATGCGGCAGTATGCATTCGCCAAATGGGCAAAGACAAGGCGAGAACAAAACGCAAATCAATATTTCAATAAATTATCCTGCCGCAGTGGCAGAATCACACCGGCTGCCAGAGGGGCTGGGCGGCTGGGCTGGACCATAGGAATCTCTGCGAGGAAGGAGGCGCTTGCCGGTGTTGGGGCCAGTGGAGAAGAGGGGGCTGTTTGTGGGGGCTGTTTGCCTGAGGACCTTTATTCCGCGGTTGTCAACCTGGTGACCCCGGGGGATGTGTTTTGTTTTGTCCACGTAACCGACTTTAAGTGGAGTCAACATTTACTAGGAGGTCGGCTTACTTTGGAAGATCCAGATTCAAACATTGGCCTGAAAAATCCAGTCTGGCAGCTCGGGGTCCCCGCAATTCTGCATACCCACAGTAGCGGGGCGCTGAGTGGTCTCACCCTGGCTTTGCTACTGTCCTCGCTTACCACTGATCGACCCTCACCTTCTTTATCATGCCAAGGAAATATTTCTGTGTACTCTTAGCCCTTCTCAGTGGGCAACACAAAAGATAGTTTTGTTTTTCATACAACCCACCTACCGCACTGAGTGACATCACCTGTCTCACTCCTGTTGGCATTTGGGAGTTCAACACCCTCCCAGCACTTCCCACAAGTCTACCTCCCGAGCACTCTGGCCTCTCCCCTTACCCCCAACCTGCTATGAGCCTCTTTCAGCCTGGTTCCTGCCCTTGGTTCTGTCCCTGACCGTGTGGTCCTTTTCCTGCTCTCTGGCCCTGAAACGGGTGTGTCTTTCTGGCTGGACTTTGGACTCCTCCTCAAAGATGTGGCCAGAGCTCTTCTCCCACTGGTGTGGGGCGCACCAGCTGGACCCTGGACACCAGCCACTGCCCTTGACTGGAGTTTCCGTGGTTCCCCCAACGAAAAAGTACATTGCTCAAGACTCTCACAGCAAGTGACGATAACATAACTCACACTGACTTTCAAGGGAGAGGTTACCGGACACATGAACGAGATACATCTCTGCGACAGGCAGCCTCTAGGAGGGCCCCTGTGACCCCACCTCTTGGTATTCACACCCTGAAATAGTCACCTCCCCTTGAGTGTGGGTGGGACTGAGATTCTCTTCTAAGTAGCCTGTGGTTCCTGTCTTGGGTGTGTGTGCACTGTGTTGCTGTCTCTCAGGTCGCTCAAGCTGGAGGAAGCAGGCTGTGGTAGGTTATTGTTCTGGGGTGTGGCTGGAAACCTTGGTCCAGTAGCCCATGAAGAGCTGAGTCCTGCCAGCAGCCAAGTAAGCAAGCATGGGAGCTGGTCCTCCCCCAGTGGAGCCTTCAGATGAGACCACAGTCCCCACCTCTGCTTGCCAGCAGTCTCAGGAGAGACCCTGAGCCAAAGTACCCAGCTAAGTTGCTTTTGGATTCCTGCCCTGAAGAAATAGATGATAAATGTTTGGAGGTTTTCAGGCCATACATTTTTGGAATCACCTGGTACATAGTGACCTAAGAGATCCACAATAAGGTGGCCTCAGGCCTGGGTGAGCCAGGTGGTCATGTGAGGACACCAGGAGTTGACTCTTCTCTAGCCCAGGCCCAGCTCTCTCTGTGTTGGCTTTTTCATCAAGTGGGGTCTCCTCCCGTGGGGACAGGGGCACCAGCAGCTCCTGACTCATGGTCTCACACCTTTCCAGCTCCTTGGCCCACTTTGGTTATGTGCTCACTCCAAGCCAGCACGGTGCCAGGAAGATGTGGTGCTGGGATTAGCCAGGCCTTGAACCCTCCCGCCATTGAGCCTGGGGTCACACCCAGATGAACAGAGGGGAAGTTTTACTGAAGGGGGGCCTGGGCTACTGTTGTCAGACAAGTCTAGGCACGAGTAACTGCAGCCCACCAGGGCTTTGGAGGGAACCAGACTAGAATTAGCTCAACAGTGGAACCCTAAGGACCCTAAGGGCCAGCCAGCCCATCATGGGCAATAACTTCCTGATATGTGGGCTGGCAGACATGGCCCTGGAGGAACCCGAGCCACTTCGTGGGAGGTGGCCCAGCAAGGCTTCTCAGCTGCTTTGTGGGCTTTGTGAGTGGGGAGGTCACACACCAGTGGGGGCTCTGTGGCCATCCTAGATCGAGTTCTCATTGGCAGCCTGGTGATATCCCTCAGATCTGGACTCAGGCTGGCAATCTTCAGCTCACTGGGGACAAGCACAGGCCCCAATTTCTAGCACCAACTCACATCCACCCACAACAGTCTTTTCCTTATTCTTCCACCCAGAGCTCATTCCTTAGAAAGGAGATCCTCCCACCTGATTCCTTCTTCAGAGCTGCGACCTCGTAAGGTTTTCTGGAGGCAGCTACCACCTGGCGGGGACTCAGGCTGACCTCCAGGTGTCTGACTTAGATGGGACACAGATGCCACACTCCCTCCACCCCTCCTGTGTCAGTCAGTGTGGGCAAGGTTGTGCTACGGCCTTATGACAACAGATACTTATTTCCTGCTCCTGTTACGTGTTCCATATCTCTGTCACTTGGGGTCTGGGTGACAGAGCAGCCACCATCTCAATACTGATGGTTGACAAGCCAGTGAGGAGAGATCGCTGCAGGGTCTCCTGTGGGCAGAGGTACAGGTCACTTCTCCTCACAGCTCACTGGCCAGAGGTAGTCACACTCTCTTTCCGGTCATGATTGGGCAGTCCCGTACGTCCCTTTCCCTACTGCAGCTTCCTCTGGGCTGTCCATCTCTGTGCCTTTGTCCAGTGGGTCCTGGTCACTACAGCTCTGATTCCAGTCTGTGACTTCCTTCACTGGGACTCACTAGGTCTCATTATAACAAGCACTCTTACCTCCCAGATGTTCTGTGTTTGGGAGTTGGGAACTGGTGCGCCATCTTGTAAGTCACTGACTCGGATGATGCAAGAGAACTCTGGCAGTGAGCGGTCCTCCCCGGCCTTGAATCATTCTTCCTTCTTCTAGAACAGCCTGGGTTCCCAGGAGTACCTATATCTACTCTTCGCTCCTTCTGTACATGAAAAGGAGCATCTGGCTATGCTTGATGGATGTATTTATGCCAGGGAAGAAACAAAACACCTGCAGACACGTCTACTAGGGAATGCATAGCTCTGCTTTATGGACAGATGGATCCTGTCCATCAGGACTCTTTGCCTGGAGGGAACTATTCGGTGGTGGGAATTCATAGTAAGAGGAGCAGACATGCTGCCTGGCATGAGGACAGCAGAGAGCAAAGGGAAGCGTGCCACACAGGGGAGCCTTGCTTTGGGGACAATATGGTGTATGTTTTGTTTGGGGAGGGAGTTTAGGGCAGGGCGTTGAATCTAGACATGGGTTTTAGGCTTCCCAGCTGTGTGGCTAAGGGCAAGTTACTTGACCTCTCTAAGCTTCACTTTCCTGCCTCTCAGGGTGGTTGTGAGGACTGAATAAGAGAGAGAATGCCAATGCCATGGTGCAGAGTGGGCTGCCATGCTGCCTGTCCCGCAGCCCACCCTGGGTCTCGGGTATGCGTCATGATATCAGTGGGATGTGGGGCTTCCTGTCCGTCGTTCCTGAGGGAATTATCACTATGCTCCTGTTCTGTATGTGGCTCCTTTGCTAGATCTGCTGCAGTTTCTCTCCTCTACGGTGTTTATGCTGTTTTCTGTAAGACATTCAAACAAGGGGGCAACATAAGGCATCCCGTCCCCTTCTCTGGGCTTCCATACCATGTTGGGAGTTCCGTCTACCCTGCCTGGGACCCTGCCAGAACTGTGAGCTCTTCAGCATGAGGTCCACGTTGCACTGGCCTCCTGCCCAGGACCCACACAGAACAGGAGCCTGATAGACTGCCACAGAGACCCCTGGAAGTGGGTGAGGCGGGATGGACTGTGTGAGGCCTCAGATGACCTCAGAGCTTGGCTTCCATGTCTCACTTGAGAAGTGGGCTGTGGTTTCATGTGGAACTCACATAGGCATGTGTGACTGGGGAGCCTTTCCTCCACTCAGAAGAGTGGAGCCAAGTGGGAGGTGGATCCCGAGGGGGACCGGACTCAGCTCCACATGGCCAAGGACCCCAGCAGAGGGGGGTCCGTGAGCACTACTGCCTGCTCAGCTCCCATCCCGTCTACCCAACACGTTAATCCCTCGCTTCCATCTCTCCTGCCCACCCCTACAGTCCATGAGCCTCATTGAGATTGGGAACCCCTCCCAGAGCCTGGAGAACGTCTGCCGTTGGGCTTACCTCCAGCAGAAGCCAGACACAGGTCACGATGAGTACCACGATCACGCCATCTTCCTCACGCGGCAGGACTTCGGACCTTCGGGCATGCAAGGTGAGCCTCAGCTCTGCAGGGGCCCAGAAAGGAGGGAGGCTGGGCATGAGCCATTGGCCCTTGCGAGAGTCCCTGGCAGCGTTGGTCCAGGCTGGGAAGGGTGTCAGGGCAGAGAGAGGCTGTGGCCACCTTAGCCAGTGAGGGTTGTGTAAGCTTTCGTGACCTCTTGGCTCATCGAAAACTACTGTGGCCTCTGCCATTTCTCCCAGGAAACTGCATCCCTCAGGGGAACAGCAATGGTCAAAGGTGGTGAAATGGCTCAAGCCTGGGGCTGGCAGCCCAAAGACCAGATAGGATCCAAGGCAGAGTTGTTTGCTTCCCCCCATTTTTAAAAAACAAATTTGAATAAGTTTTCCATCTTTAGAAGTTAAAGGATTTCACTTAAAAATTCAAACTATATAAAACTGACAGATCTAAAAGGAGAAATTGACAAGGCCTACAATTATAATTGAAGATTTTAACATATTCTTAGTAACTGATAGAACAACAGATAAGAATGTTGGTAAGGATACAGAAGACTTGAATGAAGAAACGACCTAATGAATTATAGAATACTACACCAGACAGCTGAGGGATACACACTCTTGATGACTGCAGCACGAAACCATACCAAAGCAGACTACAAAGTGCCATAGGGAAACCTCAACAAAAGACAGAAGATCGAAACCACACACTGGAAAAGAAAGATAACTCGAAAAATTATGAATGCTTGAAAATTAAACAGTATGCTCATCAGTAATCTGTGGGTCAAAGAAGTAACTTTGTTACTTCAGTACAACATATCAAAAATTGTGGATGTAGCTAACATAATGATTAAGTTGTATTTATAAGCTTAACAGTTTACCGGTCAACCACATCAACGAAAATGGCTAAACCAAATCAGTCAATCAACCAAACCGGCTAAAGAGTTAGTCATAGAAACATCTATCTCAAGAGATTCAAAAAAGAACAGCTAACTCAACTCAACAAAAGTGGAAGGGAGGAGATTGTAAATGTAAGAGCAGGATTGTTGAAATGGGAAACGGTTATAAAGAAAATCAATAAAATCAAAATTTGGTTCTTTGAAAGATATCAGTTAGAACCGGAATGCCCCCAGCCATGCTAGTTTAAAAAAGAAAGGAAGAAAATACAGATTTACTAAGATTAGGAATATAAAAGGGATCTGATTACAAATCTGACTTTAAAAAAGGTAATAAGATAATGAGAAGATATTTTGAACATCATTATGCTGATAAATTTGTTAATTTAGATGAAAGGTATAAATTCTTTGACAAACATAAAATCTGAGAAAAAAAGGAAAATCCAAATAGTCTCATATCAACTAAAGATACTGACTTTATGATTAAAAGCCTCCCTTCAAAGTAAGCTCCAGGACTTGATGGTTTCACCAGAGAATTTTTCCTAATTTTTAACAAAGAATAATACCAATCATACACAATTTCTCACAGAAAGAAAAGAGAGGAACATTTTTCCAACTGATTTTATGAGACCTGCTAACATTAATACCAAAATCTGAGATTGACTTGAAAAAAACAAGTTATAGGCCCATCTCTCCCATGAGTATATATACAAAATCCCAAACAAAATAGGAAATCAAATCCAGTGCTACGTGTAAAAAGCACTGTGTGACAATGAATTTGGGCTGATCCTAGGAATGCAAGGTTTAACATATGAAAATCAATCATTGTAATTCACCAAATTAATAGAACAAAGAATAAAAACTTAAGAAATCATCTCAATTGATGAAGGAAAATTATTTGACAAAAATCAAAAGCCATTTATGATCAAATATCTTATTAAACTAGGAATAGAAGAAAATGTTCTAAATGTAATAAAGGATACGTAGCAGGAAAAAAAAAAGCTCTAGCAAACATCATATGTAATAGTGAAATGTTGAAAGGATTTCCTCTAGACCTGAGAATGGGTCAAGAAAACTTGCTGTCACCACTTGGATTCGACATTGTAGCAGAGGTCCCAGCCAGTGAAATGGGCAAGAAAAAAATAAAAATATAAGGGTCAGAAAGGAAGAAATCAAACTCTTATTTGAAAATAATATGCTGTGTACGTAGAAAACGTATGTAGAAAATGTACGTAGAAAACTCAAAAAAATCTACCAATAAGTCAGTAGCATTATTGAGTAATTTCCTGGATATAACGTCAATATATAAAAATCAATTGAATTTCTGTATTCTAACAGCAAAAAATTAAAATTTGAAAAAGACCACCACTTAGAATAATAAAAGAATAAAAAATACAAACACCTAGAATAAATTTAACAAAAGATGTCCAAGATCTAGACCCCAAAGCTGTAAAACACACGTACAGATGTTATAAAAGATGACATCAAGGAAGGGGTGTGCGATGCTAATGGATAGGGAGACTCGCTATTGTAAAGAAATCAATTTTCTCCAAACCGACCTGTAAGAGAATGCAAGAGCACTCCAGAGCAAGTTCAGATCCAGCAGAATAGTTGGAGATATTGACAAGTTGATTCTAATGTTCTTCCAGAAATGCAGTGGGCCAAGAGCAGTCAAGAACGATTGGAGAAGATGAGCAAAGTATTCATTGCTCCCATTTTACCCTATTCCCATTTTCTATAGTATTCATTGCTTGTATTTTGATGCAAGGGTTGACAAATGAATCATGAGGACAGAACGCAGAGTCCAGACTTGAGCTCACCTGTGGGTGGATACTTGATTAATTGTGAGGTAGAGAGGAAAGATGATCTTTTCAACAGATGGTGTCAGGTCCAGCAAATATCCAAACTGGGGGCAAGAAGTGAAGCTTGACACCCCTTCTTTTTTTAATTTAATTTTTTTATTGAGATATAATTGACATGTCATTATATTAGTTTAGGATGTACAACATACTGATAGGATAAATGTATATATTGTGAAATGATCACAGTAGTCCTAGTTAATATCCATCACCACACATTGTTATAAGATTCTTTCTTATGATGAGAACTTTTAAGACCTACTCTCCTAGCAATTTTCAAACACACAATACAGTATTATGAGCTCTTGTTTCCATGCTGTATATTTCATCCTCAGATCTTATAATCAGAGGTTTGTACCTTTTGACTCCCTTCACCCCCTACCCACTGCCTCTGTATCTAGGAGTTTGGCTTTTATTGATTGATTGATTTATATTTTCGATTCCACATATAAGTGAGATCACAGCGTGTTTGTTGTTTTCTGCCTGACTCATTTCAATTAGCATAATGCCCTCAGGGTCCATCCATGTTGCTGTGAATGGCAGAATTTCCTTTTTATGGCTGAATGGTATTCCAATGTGTGTATACTCCACATCTTCTTTATCCATTCATCCACTGATGGACGCTTATGTTGTTTCCATGTCTTGGCTATTGTAAATAGTGCTGCAGTGAACGTGGGGGCTATAGATAGCTTTTCGAGTTAGTGTTGGTGTTTTCTTCAGATAAATACCCTGAAGGAAAATTGCTGGATCGTAGATAGTTCTATTTTTAAATTTTTCAAGGAAGCTCCATACTGTTTTCCACCAACAATGCGCAAGGGTTCCATTTCCTCCACATCTGCACTAACACTTGTGATCTCTTAAGTCTTTTTGATACTAGCCATTCTAACATGTGTGAAGTGATACCTCATTGTGTTTTTGACTTGCATTTCCCTGATGGTGAGTGATGTTGAACATCTTTTCCTCTACCTCTTGGCCATCTGGATGTCTTCTTTGAAAGAATGTCTATTTAGGTCTTCTACCCATTTTTATTTTGGGCTGGTTGTTTTTGGTATTGAGTTGTTGGAGTTCCTTATATATTTTGGATATTAACCTCTTATCAGATAGACAAGTTTGCAAATATTTTCACCTATTTTGAGAGAGGATGTCATGGTTGGAGACAACAAGGGGCTTCTGCAGTGTTGATACAGTCGCACAGGTGTGATACTTTTGTGATGGTTCATTTATTGTATCCTAGGACTTGTTCATTTTTATGGATGTATATCACGCTTCAAAAGAAAGAACTTTGAAAAGCCATATAAAATACACATTCAGAAGAGTGGACTCATTTTACCCCATTCCCATTTTCTATAGATAGCCATATTTATTAGTTTCTGGTTCATCATTCTGGTGATCCTTTTTATAAAAATAAGTATAGTTATATAATGTACATGCTCATTACATCCACCACTTCCTTCCATGAATTTTGATACTTCCTGCACTGCATCTTTCTCCACTCTTTTGGCCTTTAGCTTCTTTCTGCTGCCCACTTGCTCTTATCTGCATAACTAGGGAGACTTCCCAAGTGACCCTGACCAGAGCCCAGATGGGTTTGTTAACAAAACATCTCTCTGGCACTACAGCTGCCCCTTTTGCCACACAGAATAGCATTCAGGTGGGAACATGGAGTGGGACTCCAGATCCCACCGAGCTCAGAGTAAGGCTCCTGGTTGGTGTTGATGCCTCTTCATTCAGAGGGGCTGCTAGTTCCCTGTCACAGAAGGAAGCCCAGTGACAAATAGTGCACTCTGTCAGCACTTTTGTCCAGGTGAGAGATCTAAGGGGAGCAGAACTGTTCCACGGGGAGAGAAACCATCATAACCTCTATAGCAGGTGAGCTCCTCCTCTGTTTCAAAATGTGAAAGCACACCTAAGGATGGCCAGACCTTTTTTTTTTTTTTTTAATTTAAACTTACACCATGAAAAAGTCGACCAAGATGCGAAACAGAATTGGAGAACTGACTCTGGAGGAGAGAGAGATAATTTGGAATCTCAGGAAGAATTTTTTTAAAAAAAAGTAATAGTTCCCAGAATAGTTGAGAATATACATTCCATAAACCCAGCACAGGTTGCTAGGAAGAATTAGAGAGCAGCAAATAATTTTTATGAAACTAAAGATATAGTGGGTAAAGTTGAAAATTCGGAAGCTGAAATAAAAAGTCAAGGGCAGGGGCGCCTGGGTGGCTTAGTTGGTTAAGCGTCCAACTCTTGATTTCAGCTCAAGTCCTGATCTCAGGGTTGTGAGATCAAGCGCTGCGTTCAGCACGGACTCTGCTTGAGACTCTCTCTCTCCCTCTCCTTTTGCTCCTCCCTGGCTTGTGCATGCTCTCTAAATAAATAAATAAATAAATAATCTTAAAAAAAAAAAAAGGTCAAGGGCATCCAAAAAGATTAAAATAGAACGAAGACAAAGAGGCTCAACCCAAGAGGTATGATATCTACCTAGTAAGATTCCAGAAAAAAAAGAGCAATAGCAAAATAAAATAAGCAGGAAAGGTATGAAGAAAAACATAAAGACACTTTTGCAAACCTTCAGATTGTAAAGACCCGTGTAATATGCTCGGTAGTGTGAATAAGCACATGCAGGCTTTGCATATAACAAAGAGAAGATCTCAAAGTTTGGCTCTGGGACACTGATTCCAGAGTAATCATCTTAAAATCTGCAGAGCAAAAAATATTTTAAGATACATATTTTCCTGTTTATGACAAGGAGAAAGGACAGTGGTTCCATTACGGTGCTTTTACAGACAAGTATAACGCCAGCAGCACACCCCGGGTCACCAGGCCCTCCTTCCTTTCTTCTCGACTCTTAACAAATTGCCTTGGGATCTCCCCGAAGGGTCTGTGAGAAGTGAGGCTAGGTCAGAGTTCCACGGGCAGAGGCTCCTTGCTTGGTGGGCCTCGAGGTCGTGTCTCAGCATGCACTCTGCGTACACAGCTCTGTACGCACTTCTCTGTCTTGTCCAGGGGCAAATGGCTAGGCCCCTATTCGGTGGTTTTCCCCAGTGGTAGGTGCGGTCTGAGGATCTTGCCCCCCTGCACCCTCCCCCTCATCACCCATGGGAATGCTGTCCTCTAAGGCTTCCCTGGAGATATCAGAAGAACAACCCACCCTCAGATCAGATTCAGCTCACCCAGGGGGATTCACCTGTTCCATAGGCTGACCACCTCCAGGCCTTCTCCCCCACTGCTTGGGCTGTTCTAGCTCAATCCTCAGTCCTCTCCTTGGTCCCCTCACTATTACCTATGAATTCAGTGGCTCTTTCTAAACCACATGAATGGGGATGAGGCTGGCCTGGCTGAGGGCAGGGGGGTTCCTTGGGCATCTGTGTCAGTGGGATGTGGCCTACCTCGGCCAGCCCTCCCCAGTCCCACTCCCCACCCTCCACCTCTGGGGGCACCTTGCTGCATCCGGCTCTTTCCCCACAGACCCCTGGAAGAGGGGAACCCTTCAGAAGGAACATGGCTCATACTTTCCTCAGCCAGAGTGCAGGTTCTCTGACTGAGAGCTCGGAGGGCCTTGTCTGCAGCTGGTCTACTCCTCTGTCCTCTCGGCTGGTCCTGGCTGCATGACAGCAGGGCAGGGTGACCTGCTGGCTCTTGGCCCTGGTCTCTGCCCTTGAGCAGCTTCAGGGGTTTGCCCTCACTGCTCCCTGTGTGTGCTATGGAAATGGGTTTAGCTGTGGTCTCACAGGACCCAGGGAAGCCACAGGGAGCCCAGGGACGACCCTCCAGAGGGGTAGTGGGCTCAGAGAGCAGTGTTCCTACAGCATGGAAGGCATATGTTTCTGGGGGCCAGAAGGTCACTCAGCAAGGTTGGAAGATGGGAGAGGGCAGGAAAGAGAACAGCAGGCAAGAAGCTGCCAAGGTGGCAGGGAGTTCTAGCACCTGACACCCGTACCCGGGAAACTGACCCCGGCTGCAGTGTGGACATGGACGGGCAGGGCTGAGGCCGGCTGCCTGGGGTGCATGTCACCTGAACTGTGCCAGTGGGGTGCAGTTGGTTTGGCTCATTTGCTCTGGGGATGGTGGGGGGCATTGGGGCCAGAGCCCCTCTGATTCAGGCCCGGAGCTAGAGCCGCCCTTTGTCTCCTCCCAGGCTATGCTCCTGTCACTGGGATGTGCCACCCCGTCCGCAGCTGCACTCTGAACCACGAGGATGGCTTCTCCTCAGCATTCGTGGTGGCCCACGAGACCGGCCACGTGTAAGTGGCTTCGCTGTCCTTGTTATGTGGGGAAAATCGGGACCCTCTGTGCCCTGGGGTGGAGGCAGGGGATGCCCTGTGTGCAAAGCACCTGGGGAGTAAAGTCCCAACCCCAGCACGGCACAGGCCAGGCCTGAGGCCCACGTTCTGCTGAGGGAACAAATCAAAGGGCCAAGCGGGTGCTGAGGGCCTTCTAGGCATCATGCCATGCAAGCCCCTGGGCAGGGTGCCTCTTTACCCCATTTTACACACCAATAACTGGGGCTCTGAGGGAGTCCTGCCCAGAATTAGAGCCAGAGGCGGGGAAGCCACGATTCCACCCAGGTGTGCAGCCCCCAGGCACCCTCTGAATTTGGGGAAACTTCGCAGGGCAGGGCCGCGGGGTCCGTGCAGAGATGTCAGCCCACACTGCTTGAGTGTGTGGAGGCTCCAGCTGCGGATGCCCCCGCCTCTGCTGCCTGCTCGTGAAACAGCGACCCCTGGCGGGCAGGGTGCCAAGGGGCGGCCTCTGGACCCAGTTTCCCAGGTGCACCTGGCTTTAAGAATCCAGCTGGTGGAAAACCTGGCTTGGGGGCAGGCAACCAAAAGCCCTGGGGAGCCGCTGGGAGGGTCTGGGGCACCCCACCCCCAGCTGTCCGGTCAGTGCAGCCCAGGGAGGGTCCAGTGAGGTGGCCTTGCCTCCCTGCACAGGCTGGGCATGGAGCACGACGGGCAGGGCAACCGCTGTGGCGACGAGGTGCGGCTGGGCAGCATCATGGCGCCCCTGGTGCAGGCCGCCTTCCACCGCTTCCACTGGTCCCGCTGCAGCCAGCAGGAGCTGAGCCGCTACCTGCAGTGAGTACCCCTACCCCCCACCCCTCAGTGCCAGCAGCACGACCTGAAGCCCTGGGCTCAGCTCTAGGAGGATGGATGCCCCAAGCCCCGCCATGGGCCTGGGCCCAGCCCTAGGCCTCAGACTTCAGTCCTGCAGCCCGAGGTGCAGGGGAGGGAAGGGAAAGCAGCGCAGGTCAGTGTGTGCATGGTGGGGGAGGTCCCACTGTCTGGGGCCGCAGCCTTGAATGGAAGGTGGGCACACCAGCTGTACCTTTAATGGGATTCCCAGGGAACTTACATCAAGGAGAAGAGATACAGCGGGGACACTGAGGCAGCGCGGCTGAGGGCTGGAGGTGCAGACAGGCCCCCCACCATGGCTTCAGAAGGGGCTGCAGCTGCCTCGCAGTTGGCCACTCCCCGCTGAAGGCTGCTTGTGGCGGCCACGTGTCCCCTCACAGCTCCTATGATTGCCTGCGGGATGACCCCTTTGCCCATGATTGGCCGGCGCTGCCTCAGCTCCCAGGGCTGCACTACTCCATGAATGAACAGTGCCGCTTCGACTTCGGCCTGGGCTACATGATGTGCACGGCGGTGAGTGTCCGAGCACCCCCGGGTGCTCCTGCCCCATCTGGGCTGGCTTCTTAGGAGGTGACTGGTGTTGGGGTGGCTCCTGAGGGCAGGGCGGAGCTAGCTTCCAGAACGGCAGCCTCTCCCTCTGCACCCACAGGCCCTCACCTGCTCGGCACCCAGTGCCTACCCGGCCAGGCCAGACATGGTCCTGGTGACTGGCCAGGGGATCTGCAAGGGATTGGGGGTAGGGAAGCTGGTGAGGCCTGGTGTTGCCTGCAGCGTTCAGAGGGCTTCCCTGAGAAAGAAGTGAGGTATAAAGGCTATGTGGGCGGAGGGGACATTCCAGAAGGCAGGAATCATGTGCAGAGGCCTAGAGATGTGGGCACATAGCAGACAGAGGAGCAACCAGTTGTTACTGGGGTCTGGCGCCAGGGCAGAGCCAGCAGCAGGAACCCCACTTATCAGAATGGACTGTATCTGCTGATGGGGCCCACCCTGTCCAATGCAGTGTGGCAAGAGCATTAGTGTCCGTTAGCATCTGACCTAATGCTCCTCTCAGCCATAGGAAGGAAGGAAGCGAAGTATTCCCATTTTAGAGATGAGGGGACTGAACACTTCAGTAACATGCCTAAGACCACAGAGCAAGCAACCACTAATGCAGGTGGTCTAAGCTCTTGCATGTCTGCCTAAAGAGCTTGGTGGGCTTGATTCTCATTGCAACAGGGAGCTCTAGAAATGTTTCAAGTGGGGAATGGCATGGCCAGATCTGAGTTTCAGCTGGATCCCTCAGGGACATCCTGGAGGAAAGGGTATGGGGACAGCAGGCAGAAAGGCCAGAGTAGAGGTGACTGTGGGGTACAGGGAGCAGAGGCCAAGGCTGAAGCAAAAGAAGGGCAGAGGGGAGGGCTTCAGGAGGTAAAGTCCTCAGCAGGGGTACAGTAGGTGCCCGTGGGGCCCTGCAGTGACAGCCCCTCCCAGCCACTCCTACTGGCCCAGAGGGATGCCCACCCAGCCTTCCTGCTAGGTACACTGGCTCCCAGCTATCTCTCCAGGCAGGCCAAAGCCTGGAGGTTGAGGTGGGGAGAACAGCCACTGCGTTCTGGAGATCCTCACGGCCTCAGAGTCACATGGGGATCAGGGCACCACACAGGCCTGTGTGGGGCAGCCAAGCTGTGCCTGTGTCCAAGAGGACCCTGGGGGACAAGGGTGGGTCCTGGGGGGCCCCCCTGCAGTGGGAGGCAACTGGGCGAGCTGCGGTGCTCTCTTCCAGTTCCGGACCTTCGACCCCTGCAAGCAGCTGTGGTGTAGCCACCCTGACAACCCCTACTTTTGCAAGACCAAGAAGGGGCCCCCCCTGGATGGAACCATGTGTGCACCCGGCAAGGTGAGTCGGAGCAGAGGGCAAGCAGTGTGATATGCACAGATCACGGGATGCGCAGTGCTGCATGGGTGGGGAGGAGTCTGAGGCCTTCTCAGGGGACTGCTGCCTCCTTTCTAGTAACTCTCCTCACGCGACATTCCAGAGTTTCTGTGCCCTCTACTTCCAATGCACTAGTTCTCTATTGGACCAAACCTGATGTTCCAAAGACCTGATGTCTCTGTGCTTCAAGCTCTGCCCTCCCCATGCAACTTGGGAATCCCCTCCTCTGAGGAGCAGCCTTCCGTCCCCCAGTGGACACTGTGAGTGTCTGGGTCACCTTACTTTAAGGCCAGCACTGGGGGCTGTTGGCCACTGGGTTCCGAGGCTCAGCATCAGGCTTAGCCTGTCCATTCTTGGGGCCTCCATGTGTGCCCCCTAGAAAGCATACTTGTCCCTTGAGGCAGCTCTGTGGCTGCTCCCAGCACCTGCCAGCCCCCCAGGCCCACTTCCCACTGTCCAGCGATTTGAGAAGAGATGGGCTTTTCTCATGGTGTCCTTTGACCAAAACTCTGGGCTTGATTCTCATAGGCTCAGATGAGAGCACGTGCCTGCTCATTAGCTAATCACCCACTGTGGGCTGGCTTATGCCGATGAGCCTAAGCCTGGGTCACGGGCAGCCCCGTGCACCTGGCAGGGTGAGGAATGGGGTGTTTGCTCCAGCTCACAGGCCCCAACATCAGGCCTGCAAAGGCCCCCAGTCACCTGCGCCTGAGCTGCTTCTATGTAGGTCTTAAATTCTGGCTAATTTTAGTTCCTGGTACACCTTCTTAAAGATACAGATACCCAGACTCACCTCTGCAGGTTTTGGTTTGAGGTAAGGATCCGGGATTGTGCTGATTTTGGTTTTTGTTTTTTTTTTTTTTTTATAAATCATGGCAAAATGCCATTTTAACCACGGCATACAAGTAAGTGGCTTTTTAGTACATTTGCGGTGCCCTGCAGCTGTTACTATATAGTTGCAGAACTTCTTCATCACCCCAAAAGGAGACCCCATTAAGCCGTCACTCCCCATTTCCCTCCTGTCTCCAGCCCCTGGCAACTGCTGGTCTGTCTTCCATCCCTGTGGATTTGCCCATTCTGGAATCCCACAGAAGCAGAATCATACACGTACACCTGGCTGCTTTTAAGGTTCATCCGTACTGTAGCACTCCGCTCCAGGACTAGATCGTACTTTGTTTACCCACTCATCTGTTGGACATTTGGATTTTATTTCCCCCTTTTAGTATTGTGAATAGTGCTGCTATGCACATTTGTGTACGGATTTCTGTTTGAAGATCTGGGAACAGGTATTTGTAAGGGTGCGCCCAGGTGATTGAGCTGTGCCCACCCCCCGCCATGAACTGTTAGAAGTTGGAGGTGGGACGTTGTTTTAATAATATGCCAGGGACCTCACGAAGCCAGAACTGACCATGTAGCCCTCCTCCCCACAGGAGCTCCGTGGAGGGAGTGGGGGCCTGGACGCATTTGCCACAACCCCTGTGATGAGCTCAGTAAACACTGGGCTGGGGGCTGAGTCCAGCTCAGCAGGGCTTCCTACCCCTCCCTCATCCTCGCTTTATTCCATCCCACCCTGCACAGAGAGAACGTGGATGGAGTGGGTGCTGGCCCTACACAGGCATACCCGCCCAGGTTTGCAGGGCTGGCTTTTCCCCACAGGAGGCCCAGCCTCTGGGAGAAGCTGGGCCAGGGAATGCTTGCGCTTCTGGCCGTTTGGCTCCCCTTCTCTTGTGGGGCAAGGGGAGGGTTTGGTGAAGAAGATGCACAGAGGTGGCCAAAGTGCTTCTCCTCACAGAAATCACTGACCTGGCCATTGCCCTTCATTCATTTTAGTGGTGGGATCCTTTGTTCATTTAGCCCAGTACAGACAATTACATTTTATTTGTTTAAAAAAACAGAGCTGTGCTGGGTGTGTTGGGGGCAGAGCTGGGGCTGGGCTCAGCCTGCCTCAGTTCACCAGAGCACAGGGTGCAAACTGACCCAGATCAGGAATTCTTGATGTGTGAGGCTGTGGGTGGAGGCGCAGAGGGAGAGGCAGGGGTGCCTCCTGGGGGGGCCTATCAGGCTCCTCTGCCTGTGTGTGTTTGTATTTTTCAATATGTTACTCATTACTACATGCAGTTTTGTGTTTGGAAGGCAGCCCTCCCTTACCTTTCCCTTCCCTGCGAGAAAAGCCACAGGGGCAAGGAGAGAAGGGAGTGAGGAGGGAGCAGGGGGAGGTTGGCTGGGTTGGAGAAATAGCCGGACATCTCAGGGTTGAGGGCGATGAAGAGTTCAGCAGTCCCTCAGGGGGCTCCAGCCCCGGGCAGGGGGTGCCAGAGCTCAGGCTCGGGATGCAGTGTGGCTGCCCGGGATCATCACTGTGCACACTGTCCAGCAGCTCCTCCCAAGCACATTGTTCCCCCTTGGCCTCCACAGCCAGACTGTGCCCCTGCTTACTCAGGTTGCCATACCCACCGTTTCCCAGAGATAGAACAGTCTGGATCTATATTCCACACATAGGGATGACTTGGAGAGAGCGTAACAAAGAGCCACCCACCTTCCAACTTTTGGTTTCACAGATCATTCACAGTCTGCCCTGGGTTTGGACACTGTGGGGGCCAGGTAGGTGGTGGGGGGTGTCGGCAGCACTCTTGGGATTCAGGGCCCCCAGCCTCAGAGAGATGAAGCAGAGGGGATTAGGGTGGTAAGGAGCAAGAGCCAGTGGTGCACAGCTCTCCCACAGAGTCAAGAGTTGGGCTTGGCCGAGAGGGGAGAGGTGAGCGTGTTGCCCTTGGGCAAGGAAACGGGCAGTGGGCCTGCGCATCTGGCTGCCTGGTCACCTCAGGTCCACATTCATTCATTCATTCACATCCATTGCATGTGTCAGCCCCCTCTGCCTCCTTCAGACCTCACCATCCATGGGAGTCGGCCATGAGCTGGAAGAGGTGGCTGCGACAGGTGGTGAGAACAGGGTCCAGGAGCGGCCCATCAGGAAGCTCAGAGAGGCTTCCCTGTCACTGACTGCCACTGAAGCCCAGCAGTAGGGGAAAATGAGCCAAGCAGTCCAGGTGGAAGGTCATACAGAGCGGGAACCTGGTGAGGAAGGCCCGGGAGGGCAGATGACATGGGGAAGGGTGGTGTTTTAAAATACGGCATGTTAGTATAAATGGCGGAGTGAGGCCAATAGACTGGAAGATGATTACCAGTGGAAGAGTTTGTATCTCACAGATCCCAGAAGGAAGGACTGCAGGGAGCCGTGCATGGAAGCACCGGGGTGGGTCAGGAGGCAAAGGATGGGGGAGTAACTGGTTTCTGTAGAAAGGGAGGGGCGAGGCAGGGTAAGCAGGCTTCGGTTTGGCCAGTGTGAATGATGTCAGTGGGCTCTGGGCTTGAGCCCTTAGTCATCTGGTACCTGCCCTTGGGGTGACAAGAGGATGTGTTTGGATTGTAACCCCTGGGTTGGTTGGTTTGCATTTAAAAGTCACACAATTGCATGAGTTGTTTACTGTCTCTAGAAATTGGCTAATCCTGGGAGGGGCAGTCCCTTTAGGGTCCAAATCGAGAAAACAAAAAACACGGTGACTCCACATGGCTCCCTAGAGGCCCTGGTGATAGTCCGCTCCTGTCCCACCTGTTCAGGGTGCTGGCAACAGGCATGCCCTGGAGAGGTTAGAGCAGGGTCAGGCCCAGCACGAGGGTGCTCCCAGGTGCCTCTGCCCTGCAGGCCAGGCTGGTGGGCTCACCTTGCCCTCCCTGCGTGAGCCAGGGTCAGGGCAGAGGGTGACATGCTGGCCCAAGGAGGGGGGTCAAAGATGGCTCCTGCCTCAGTGTGTCTGTGGGCAGCAAAGAGTCCTCCATGTGCTCTCACATTAGCATGTGGCATCTTGGGGAAGTGACACCCACCTCCAGTTTTCATGAATTCTGTTTCAGAGACACAGGCCCCGTGGAAAGGCCCCGAGATGCTCCTGTGTCAAGCTTCCTATTTCCCTGCAGAATTGAGAAGGGGCAGGCAGGCATAGTGACAGGGATAGCCCAGGATCTCGGCCGAGAAGTTGGAGCCCTGGGTCTCCTTCCTCAGGTGGGACCTTGAGCCATCTTTTCTGCCTCCAGCAAGTCACCTAAGCGTCCAGCTCACTGGCCCTCACAGCTCAGGCTTCTGGCCTGTGGTCCCTGCTTGGGACACACTGTTTAAACAGGCACTTCCTTGAAACTGAGCAGTGCTGCCAGGCAGGCTTTGGGAGCAACCCAGCAGAATTCTCGGCCCCTTCCAAGCGCTCTCCATGGTACTTAGCCCAAGAGGCAGCCCCGTCAGCTTGTCCTGTGCTCAGAATTCACTCAGGACAAGCAATTTTGTGCTTTTAAATGTTCAACCCTCTCTTTCTGTTCCATGAAATATTTGTAGGCATTTAAACATATGTTTATAGAGCATTTTAAGAACGTTAAAGATGTTTGTTTGAAATAATAGTGCTGAGGTATCAGAGTATGAAATTGTTCGTTTGGGTAATGTTAAATGCTCACAGTCATCCAGGAGGAAATAAACCAAAATATTGGAAGGATGGCTTCCGAGCTGTGGAGTGAAGGGTGATTTTCCCTTTCTGTCTTGCTTCATATTTTCTACAAGGCATGAGTATTGCCTCCGTGCGTTTGCAGCTGAGTCTGTGGAGGAGGTTGTCCCTCACACTGCGGGCCTGTGAGATGTTCTGAGTTGTCCTGGGCCCAGCTCCCTATTTCCAGACTTGGGACCGATTTGTCCAACAGGGACAAGGAGGCCACTCTCTGGCTTCCTCCATCCTCCAGGTCCTTGGTTCCCTCCACCATCAGTGGCTTAGAGGTTGGGTCCCAGTCCCACCCTTCAGAGATGCCAGAACTCACTCCCTCTGTGTCCTAGTCAGCTCGGGCTGCTGTCACGAAAATGCCATAGACTGGGGGCTTAAACAGCAGTACATATTTCTCACAGTTCTGGAGGTTGGAGTTTGAGGTCAGGG